CCTTAAGCAATAGGCAGATGGACAAAAAATTGATAATAAAATGTTCACGTAGCTGTTCCCCCAACGCCTGCCATCTTTTATGCAAATTACGCTTGCTCCGAACATTCTTTCTTCGCCTTCTAAATGTTTGTAGAGACTGCTCTCCACACTTTCAAGTGCTACCCACAGCAATTGGCAGTCAACACCTCTGAGCGTGTCAGTTAACTGCACTTACTATCACAGCGAGGTCATGCAACGTCGGAACATCGTCGTATCTGAAATCGCTCAGCTTCGTACCGCACCCGATAATAAGTGGTGAAGCCCTTCACCATAGTTTTTTACATTTACATTTAGACCTGTCCATTCCAGATATTTTTTGCTGGTACTACCGTACTTAGGTTTTCAATTTCCATTACTAGCAACCTCCATGTCGGTGGTAGTCACGAATGCGGCAGCTTCAGTCACCTTATCAACATTTTCGCTGCAGGACCTACCATAACTTTCATCTGGGAACTGGTGTTCACAGTACTCCAAGTCCATCAAATCTAACTGTCTCTCAATATGCCCAATCTTCAATTTTGCTCCAAACAGCTAACATTACTTCCATGAAAATGTATGATTAGCGTTGATATTAGAGCTTGGTTTATGACTTTCATTTCGCTGTCTACTTACGTTCACGGCCTCATTTGCAACTTTTTCGGTCTTATTATTGATATGGAGTCCCACTTCTATGTATTTTATTGGTTCAACTCATACTCCTTCATTCTGCAGCATATGTATTTTAAAGATTATATCGTCCACTCCATATTACCGTTTATCGTCAAGTAAACGCTTTTAGGCATTTTTAAATTACTACCTTTAAGCCATTTAGAACTTGGTTTTTGCCGCAATTAGATTGGGGCTAGGCGTTCGGCACCCCATATACCTACTATGGCATATGGTTTGCAAACAAGTGGGATTAACAAAAATCGCGCACTAAATATCAATAAACTTTGTCTCGTGCAATAAGAGCTCACAAAAAGACCCAGAAGCCTCTCCCTCTACACATTCTCGGAAACTCAAAGTAGACGCCAAGTTAACTATTCATGGTTTCAATGCTTTGTTGCCCAAAAGAATTTATCGAAGAGCCGATCGCCTTGCTTCCGAACATCCCCGTTTGAAACGGTGCCACACCCAAACCTATAAATTTTACCCTTTTAAGCCTAACCGTAGCCAGTGGAAACTTTCTAAAACCCTATAGACCTGCCACAAAATGGTGTATCAGTTAGCCTTTTAAAGGCGCATGCAAGGGAGATTTTGACACCCCTCCTGGTTACGATTTATCATCGCGCTCCCGAAAGTGAAACCTTGTCAAGCTAACAGAAGGAATCGTGCCTTCTGTCCCCAGCCTTATATTACTTGAAACTATCAAAATACTGGTCATTGTATAGCACTCCCTTTCATGTTGGCACCCGTTGTAATACACAAGGAACTGGTCTCGATAAGATAGGATAGTATATTTATCTGAAAGCATGTACTTTATCAGAAATGAAGGTGTTTACAACAAGCAGCAGTTTCAAATCTACAAGAACCTGTTAGACGTAATAACGGATACAGTCAATGGAACGGCGGACTAGATGAGAGACCTGCGTTAGGAAATAAGAAGAAAAAAAGAAATTCCAAATGCAGCAAGGGACATTTAGCCTGAGACACACTTAATTTTCGTGCAGATTGACATAGATGGGTCAGCAGTATAAGACAGTAAATATGGCGCCAAACACAACAATCAAAAGACAGCTAAGATCAAGG